GAGATTCATCCGTCCTCATGTGGTGAGATCGACCAACTAATCTCTTCTTCATGCACTTTCATGCGAACTGAAATTTCCCCTAACAATATTATCTCAAGAGATTCATCGAAACCAAATATTTCTTTATATAGAAAACAAATATTGACAATCTCGGCGCCTCCATGATGATTTAAGAATTAATTGCTTACTTAGCTACCTTATGTGCCATTTAGTGATTCTTCTTTCATCAATTAAACAAAACAGACACTTTCCTTACCTATGTATGTTAAAAGACTAGGTCTAAAAGAATAAGTTCCATATTATCGTTACTGATAAGAATATAATTTAAATAATAAATATACACAAATTGTTGTTTGCCTTTATGACTTATTATCTTTAATATAGCCAAATTTAGCTAACGTAGTGTCAGTTTCTATCCTGAGAGCGAAAGATATAGCTGTATGTTATACTGTATGGCGATAAATTGGCAGATATTTAATGTTCCTAAAATTAGTTTCTTCATCAAATATTCTTAATCACTGAGTTTTAGCTCTGATGCTTTATATATCAGAAGAGAAGACAAACCCAGTGCAGATTACGTTACGTTAGGGAGAATTGTGTTCAAATCGATATTCATACCGCGAGGATTGAGTCATTGAAAGAAGGATGAGTACAATAGCATCAAATATTATTTAGCCAAAGAAAAAATTTAGTAACCTATGGAAATGAGAAACAACGTATTTTGCAATTAAGATTTACCAAACAGCCTCTCCAGTATGACTGCAGAACAACTGCCGCCTGGCTATCGCTCCATTGGAAACTAAGCGGAAGAGGCTTTCTGGGCCTTTGCGCCCATTCTTCTTTAACCCAAGGAATGTCACCAAGATAATGTATTGTATCCTCCCTAGAATATTGTCCTCTATTGTTGCCCGTAGGATTTTTTCGATATAGTTCAAGGGTGATAAAATCTAGAGGATTGAACACTGTCCTGCGACGCTATAAATGAAAAAGACGTAATTTTTATGAAAAATTTATATGCTATCTTAAGAACTCAAGCCTTTTAGGTGATCTTGATGAGTCTTGCTCCAATTAACCTGTCTTGTGCAAACTCAAAATGCAAACCAAGCTTTTCGTAGAGTCCGACCGCATCCTCATCGCTAACAACCGCCGGCAAGCTTATAGCTGCTTTGCTCACGAAGGAACTGGTTCCGTTTTTTCTTGAATATTTGGCTCGAATTAATAGATGAAATTTAATCCCATTCTTGTGTGTAACTATGCTTGACACACGAACCGGGGTGTAATTCCATAAAATGCATTGGGTATGATAGAAGAATGCTAAAGCCGTGATAAACTCAGAAGTTAAGTGTTTCAACACAGCGAATAAGCCGACAATCACTTCTGCCTATCTTTAGCATGATTTTGAAATGATTCATATTCTAAACAACTGTCAATAGGAATTATTATGCTATGTATTATGTCCTTAGTATAGCTTAGTCATCCCACTCGTAAGACGGTAAAAAAATGCATTCTAGGATTGTAGCATACAAGATCCTTTCAGACGAAAAAGACTAGAACTAATATAGAAGAAGTTATGATCAACTTACCAATCTTGAAACATTATTAGATACTGTTAGTATCGATGAGTTCTATAAAAGATTAATTTATTGTGTTTGGCCGTCATATTTAAATACTGCTTCGCTTCTAAATAAATGGAATCTATAAAATATCAGCCTTTTCATTGTAATAAACTTGCTAACCAATTCTCGTTTTCACCGAATTTCCTTGAGCCCCGAAAAGTGTACTGATATAAAAGTGGCAAAATTGGCAAGGTTAAATAGATCTTCTCCACAAATATCCCAGCTCTCTTAGCAGCTCTATTGGAGTTTTATATCCAATGTCTTACTCTTGTTATTTGCGCCGGATTTCACATTCAAGTCAGGCCCTGTTTCATTTCTCTTGATCCTCCCACAAGGATAGATGATCTGGTCAGGCTCTGAATCAAAATTCCTCAGTGTTAAAGTGAGTTTGCATAAAAATTGGCTTTTGATGAATCTTCTGATATATTAATATTGGAGTACTACTCGTTCGAATTGAAGAGGCGAGTGTAAGGTACCCTTAATCTGGCCTCACCGGAAGCCTAAAGGGGATTGGTTGTTTTGGAGCTATGACTGTAAATGTGTAGAAATATGTACTCGGCCCACTATTCCACGATATTGATTAATCCTTTCGTCTGCCATGTGACGCCAAAACAGGAAAGCATGCTGTACAATAATTCACCAAAACACAGAGACTAAAGCTTGGCAATTATTCATCGGGGTCACGAAACTGAGGCGAGCACGAATACGCATAAATCTACAGTTACAGCTCTAAGTCAATCCCGCTACAATCTTAAAATGAAGTCATACGCACTTTTCACAGAAGGTTCCAGATTAAACTATGTGCTTTCCCAGAAATAGAAAAGCAGTGCCTTTCAGACTAGAAGAGGCCTCTTAACTCACACTTCTGATGAGTACATATTGAGACAAGGCTTACAAGCCACGCCATGAATATCAAGCGAAATTCGTTTATGATTAACGATGAACGATTCAAGAATACCCATGTGATCGTTCAAGTAATGCATACGCAAGCTCATCCTGGTCCGATCACTTTAAGGTTTGCATATTTGCAAACTCGATCTGATCCTAGGATATAGGGGATAAAAAAATAGGTGGCTGGCAATTCGCAACCAGGTTTAGGATGAGAAACGCCATCTATTGAGATATCCAGTAAGTATGTATGTCATGTGATTCGTTTTTTTAGGTACATTAAAGAAGAAGTAAACAATAGGTAAACTTAATATAGTATTTTTTGGTATTTTAGCTCACCTTCAAGAATCCTTTCGATTTGGCTTCCTGCAACAGGTCCTCCAGTATCGGAAGTAATGTTGGATAGATATACGCATCAAGATATTCGCGAACACCACCTGAATCAAATTAAAAAGTACTTTTAATGAATATGAGCTAATATTGTTATAAGTGTTTAAAAAAGTTAAGTCTTTGCTTCATCTTCCTAATAAAATGTATATTTCATCTGGATCTTGTTTTTTGAGGTAGCGAAAAAAAAGTCTGGACT